TGAAGATATCCGTCTTCTGGGTTATTGCGCTGTGTAGTCTGGTCGATGTTAACCAACGTTTCAGAGGTCATACTGCCTCCGTCATCAGGGCGCCCTGATGACGGAGGCAGTATGACCTCTGAAACGTTGGTTAACATCGACCAGACTACACAGCGCAATAACCCAGAAGACGGATATCTTCATTTACTAGTTTGTTTCTTAAAATTAAAACATCCCGACGACTTTAATTGGGTTCTGTAAATCAACGCTCTTGTTGACAAGCTCATAGTTCTGCAGCTGGTCAACTCTGCTTTTTAAGATTTATTTTAAATGTTATTCATACATTTTACACTTTGATCTTCCACCAAATATTTTATCAGCGTTGAACACGTGCGATCGTGTTCTGGTCTTATTATCCCTCTCTTCATTATTAAATTTTAAAAGCTTATCTCTCAACCCGGTTAGCTTGCAGAGTTGTAATTTACATAAGATTAAAATTTGCATGCAAACTCGCGGGAGTGTTGAGTAACTTGTAGTTGGCGCAAATGGTCAGCTTCCAGCCTGGACTGTTTTTCTCTCTTCCAAAATGCATTTGGCAGTGGAATAAGAGCAGACAGGGGTGTCCATTCTTCACTCAAATGTTCTCGGTGATTATACGTACTTCGAGGCTCGGTAAGACTTTTATTCCGAAGGTACCCAGTTCGAATATCGCCTGCTCTACTGGCAGTCCTTATTCAGGCTTTGCGGTATTTTTCTCAGTCTTTCCAGGTGGATGCCTCGAATAGACCACGACATGTTCCTTCCAAATTCTTGCCTCCTCACAATTGAAGATAATTTTCTCATCTTGTTGTTATATGATTTCTGTAGTTTAGTTGAAAGACTGGACGGGCTATCCGATGTTAAAAGTGTAGAAAATTACACGACGAGGAGCTTTGCAGTTTGCATCCATTGCCTAATGTTGTTAAGGCGATTAAGTAAAGAAATATATCTTGGGTGAAATGTGTAGAAGACGCGGGAAAATACGAAATTTGTGACAGTTTTTGGATGAAACAATTTTTTGGAAATATAAGAGCGTATATGAGGATAATATTAAAACGTTTATTAGAGAATTAGTTTGCCTGATAATTTATTTATCTGATAATTTACACATAGTTAAGAATATTTGCAACTTGGAACAAGGAGAACAGTTTTTAAAAATGTTTTTTGTCTGTTTGTCGTGGTTTTATCCTGTAATTTCGCACAGATAAAGAAATATTTGTGAGTTTGGAGAAATATAGTTTTGGTTCACTGCGTGTACCATATTAACATTTTTCTATTTTTCTAATTTCCATTATTTTCAGACGACTGTATTGCGTCTCTGTCGCCACAAACGCCACGTAATAAATTTAGCAGTCCGTGATTCAGACGGCGTTTTAATTCACAAAGCAAACATTTCCCGCGCAATCTTGGGCGTGCATTTTTAATTTGAAAAAAAACCTTCCTTTGCATTGAAGTTTGAGGAAAATGGGAGGAGAGAGTTTAGGTTCTGCATGAATGAAGTTATTTCAGCACGTTTGAAAGTTTGCGTTCCGGATTAACGTGGGTAATCGGCCTCGAATGTGCTGCTCCTATTGAGGAACGGAGCAGTTACTAAAAGACGCGAAACGAATAAAATTTGCCCACGTGTTCGTAATAACATTTTTGTTTTATTAATTTTTTATGCTATTATTTGTCCTACACACATTTGCTAAAGGATTGGACCCACATTTTGACGGTCCCTGGCGTAAAGCTCAAGATGGCAGCCAGTAGTAGAGAGAGAGGGGACAGATCATTCGCAAACGCAGGCAAGGATGCACGCGAAATCTCCACCTGTTCGCATTTTCCCGCTGGTCGCCATGTTGTTCAGAAGCAGACTTATTAATTTCGTATTACCTCGTGGAGCAGCTGACGGAACAAGGACGACCGCGTGAAAGTTTACTTTCACTCGCCTTTTACGCCTGTGAGGAATTTCTTGAGCAGCGATCATCAGCTTCTGAAGACGATGTTTTGTTCGTGCAATCGCTGATTTGTAACTTTCAGATCATTTCTGTCTTTTGTTCATTTACTGTTCCCTGTCACTCTGGGTTTTTGAATTTCCTTTCCTTCTGTTGCAATGTGATTGATCGCCTAATGTTTGCAGTACACGTGACTTGAAACCAAATGTGGCTGACCTTTACATCAATCATAGCGATCAGCCAACATCTCTCGTCTCGTGTCAAACCAACTATTTGTACGTACTCGCCAGGTTATTTTCCTCTGAGAATCGTCTTCTGGATTCGAACCTACTATGTTTGCTTTCAGTCTCTGTAACTCAGTGTAATATAGTGAATCTTTGTAACCCGATGCAATTTCTTGTATGTGAAAGTCGGAGAAAGGATTTTCTTCTCTCATTCATCTTTCCAAATCTTGGACCATTCCGGAGTTTTAATCTGGCCCACGTACGGATTCTAGTTATTTGAACGGCGCCAAGGAGTTTATTTGTTCAAATCCGCTAATATTGATGCACTGAAGTCGATGATGTAATGATGTATCGATAGTCAGACCAGAAAATAGTCAGGGGTTTATTTAACTTAGATGTTACAACTGTGATTGTTAATATTTTACGTCAAATCACAATTTTAATAAGATAA